TAGTAGTAATGCAATTCTTGGAGGCAACAAGCTGGTGGTTTTGTGTCCTCTGCTCATCTTTCCCACTGCCTCATTTCTTCTTCTCTAAAGCTGCAGACCACTTTGGCTAGCATTTAGGCTAACCATCGTTGTAGGACTGATCTGTGTTTTTAAGGGATCCAGACATCCAGGGATGTCTTGGGCCCTGTAGCCTCACCATCACTTAGAGCAGACTTTGTTGAGCTGTTCATTAGCAGAGTGCATGGATGTCTCCATCCAACAAGCTGTGGAATTGCTGAGAGACTCCTCCTTGCTTTCAGCACATTTGGGATCAGCTCTAGCTGAACAAAGTACCTCAACAGCTGCTCTGATGTTAGCATAGGATTTTTGCTCTATCATGCACATTGCTTTTGACATAAAGCCCATTGAAATCAATGGCCCTTCTTTTCATTAACCACAGCTGGCTTTGGATCAGGTCTAGGAAGATGCATATGTTCCAGTGATGCCATTGGATTATTTCTTTAAAAGGCATCAAGCAAAGATAGATGATGGTATGGGCTGATGGAGAGGGGGAAAAAAATCCATCTCTCTTTTATATGGTCTGCTTCCTGCTCATATCAGCAATAATTTAGATAATTAAATTGCTCAGTTCAGTAGTTGGAAGAGACATGATCAACAAGCTGACTGTACTAAGATATCAAATGTATTAGTGCTCCATACTTTTTCTTTTTTTTTTAATATGAAAAGCTGTATAATTGGACTCAATCTTTTCACCCCAGGCTACCCTCTACTTCAGAGAGGCATACCAAAGACATTTAAAATCAAATTATGAATGCTAGCACAGTGAGAACATTTATATGGTGATGTTTCATGGCAGCAGGCGAATGGGTGAAATTAAGCAAGATAATAATATCAACTCCCTCTCCATCCCTTGAATTCAATGGAAAGATGAACAAGTTCGGTGTTATGATTTAGTAAAATGTAGCCTCCAGAAAAAGTTTAGATATGTTAACGAGCCCACCAAAGTCCATAACTAGACATGCTTTTCACATTCAGCCTAGAATCATTGATCTTTGCACTGTCCCTGGAGGGTCTTCGAACTGTTGCTGGCATGAGGTATAAGCAGTTTTATTAGATCACGCTGCTGAAATGCTTATCTTACTATTGACTCCAGAGGGGTTTTTTATTATTATTATTTATTAATACAACTTTGTGACTGAATTGCTTCTCTGAAGGATGCAATAGATTAGAGAAATTGCTTGTTTTTTTCCATATCTACATCAGTTGAATTTCAGTGTGGGTGACATCTGTAAAAACAGGACAGCAGAGCAGCATCTGGAGGGCCTGAGGTAGGGAATATCTAGCGTTCGTATTTTAATCTCTTATGATAAAAATTTCAGTGCAGTTTTCCATTCTGATACAATCTTTATATTTATCCTTTCTTTTCTTTTTATTTTTTCCACAATTCCATTTATAAATATGCATATTTATTTCTCTTCTGGCAAACACGCTTCCCCTCTTCAGCTCCCCAGTTGCAAGAATGTGACAGTATCCTCTGAGCACCACGGTTAGACCTGCATCCCTGTGGTTGTTCCAGATCAGGATTAAGCAGGACAAAGACAGAGACAGCAGGATAAAAAGCACCGATTTCTTATCCACAACAGGGAGCTTATTTTCCATGTAAGCTGATGTCGGGATGCTCTTTGATGTCGGTTCTATGAGAGCCCTTATAGAAAGCAAGCAGTAAGCAAGCAGAAGGGACTCCAGCTAGGCAGTTCAGCTCTGGACCCTACAGCATTTTTTGGACTGCAGAGTCATAGCTGTGTTCCTAGCAACCATAAGGGATAAAACTCAAGAAGACAAAGCATCATCCCTTAAAATGAAGGAGCGCAAGAGAAGTCCAACAGCGAGCAGAAACGAAAAATACCTTTGAGAACAAGAAGATCCACTTCTCCTTTGGCTTTTATTTTATTTTTTAATGCTGCTTTTTATGGACATAAAATTCCCAAAGTGTGTTTGCTTATTGTTTAAAAGCAGAGGGGCCTAGGAGCGGATGCGCGCTGACCTAAAACTCTACACCAACTCCCCAGAAAATGCTCTACCAGCGCTGGAGGTTGTATAGAGCACTTCTCCGTCTTCTGCGCATTGTTTGCTCAGCTGTGAAGTGGTATGAATGGATTAGTACTCTGCCTGCATTTTAAGTGTAGAGAGCCTCACGCCAACATTTAATAGCATGCTTTTCGGCTTGGGTGCCTTTCCCACGTGATGTTTGCGTGTAATCAGAATGTTTCAGTTCTTTATTAGATTAGTACTCTGCCTGTATTTTAAGTGTAGAGAGCTCACGCTAACATTTAATAGCATGCTTTCGGCTTGGGTGCCTTTCCCATGTGATGTTTGCATGTAATCAGAATGTTTCAGTTCTTTATTTCCCATTAAACTGTTAAAAGCAGGACACCAGTTTACGGAGTCCACAGTTTGGTAACAAAATTGGATGTGACAGGGTTTGCCAGTTCTTTTTGGAAAACGACTTCGTACATCCGCGTGTATTACAAGGGAATCCCACAATAATACATTGTCCTATGTCCTATTGTCATATGCTACTTTGGGGAAAAAAATGCTCTTGCATCACAGTCTGAACTAGACATTACCAAAAAAAAAAAAAAAAGAGAAAAACAAATAAGAAATAGGCCATTTGGAAATGGGGTCTACTAAACAGCACTGCTTGTTCTTGAGCCCCTCTGAAACCTAAACTTTCCCACTCTTGGTTTCTTTTCAACCCCAAAAATGTCCATCAGTTCCTGTAATGTCAAGCTCAGCTCCGTCTCACAGTGGTGAAGAGAGAAGGAAAGTGCAATGCAGGGAGACCCCTCAGTGAAAATGCCTCATGTCCAACCCTGCTTCTGTGAACCCTGGAGATGTGATTGCCACGATATGAGTCATGCTGATGTGAAGGGGGCAATTTTTTCTTGCCGAAACATCCCTACATAAAGTAGGTACATGTTAGGAAGCTTGGTTCAATTTTCCATGCTAGGAAAATGGATAATGTGATGTATTTTGACGTGAATGCAAGACTAATATTGAACCACCAATAAATATTATAGCTACCAGGTTAAGTTTATAGATTTTAAGCAGATGCTCTGACGTTTTTCCATTATTTTTAGCTCTTGGCCTAAAAGTCTCTTCTGCAATACATTTTTGGCATAGAGCATGAGCTCCATTTGAAGCCAATGTCCATCTGTCCCAACACAGTTCTGCTGAGTGACACCGGCGGCTGGTTCGCTCTTTTTATCCTAGCCTAATGGGTGCTAGCAGCTGGCAAAGGTTGTTTTTAATAGTTTATTTATAAAACTTTGATGTTGTGCGAGCCCAGACACAAAGAAGCAACGTTTTGAGCACTCAGCATTGAAATCTTAAAGGCTGAAGTGGGCTCTGGTTTCTCATACTGGCAAGGCAGGGCTCTGGCTCCTGCCTTGCCGGTACCAAAACCCAGCGTTTACTAAGAAGTACACAGGGGAGAAACCTTGAGCCAAAGGCTCCCCTAGTTATTTTGAGCAACACATGCCTTGCTCCCTCTGCAGGAGTCTGGCTGATTGGTATTTCACTAATAAATATGTTTATTTAGAAGTAAATTTAACGACCAGAGGGTGCGGTGATATTTTTATTCTTTTTCTGCTCCTTTTCTCCTTAGCTCCAACCTGAGCGCCTCACTGTGTCACAGGGACATCATCTGGCTGAGATGTAAACTACAACACCTGGTTGTTTCTTCTGGGTTTAGAGCTGATGGAATAAGCATCTTCCTGTTTTGGATCCGTTCTTGCATTTATTTTCTGTCACTTTCATTTATCTTTTTTATTTAAAGAGTATAAAATATATTAGGTGTATTATTTTCTCCTTAACTGCATGTGGAGTTTGGAAATTCAGGAACCTGTGTTTTGTCCTGCCGTTCCATGCAGAAAAGGATTTACAATTACCTCTCAATGACTGCATAAGTGTTATTTTATTTTTTATTTTATTTTTTAAATTTCCTAAGTGAAAATGATATTCAGTTTATCTTTGAGATATACTGTAAAGAAAGCTCTAATGTTTGATTGATCAAGACTGCTTTTAATTAAATGTTGACACAGTTCTTTTGTCTGTTTGTCTGCAATTCTCCCAAGACCTTATTGCTAAGAAAAAAAAAATGCATAGGAAAAAAAGAATGCATAGTCAGTCCTAGAGCAATGATGTACAACATGCAGTGTTCCCTTCACACCTTCTGTGCCCAGCAGTCGACAGTGAGAAGCCAGTATGTATGTTAAAAGGTAGAGGAAGCAGAAATGCAATAAAAAGGGGAAAAGTAACTCATGCACTAAAGAAGAGGTTTTCAGGAGCTGCAAGAAAGCTTTCCAAAGCGATTCCTTGTACAGTGATACAAGGAAAATGTTTTCCACTGTATGTATAGCTTAATACATAGAATTGAAGTTATTATGTGATCTGTATAACATCAATCAATAAAACAACAAAAACAAATAAATAATAAAATAATAATTAAAAGAACTGTCTAGTGTTAGAAAGTGTGGCTAAACCTCCAGCAACCCAGGCATTCAGCTTGACTTGTTATGATACTGGTTGACTTAAATGGCTTTAGTCAAGGTATACTTGAACCAATGACTTTAAATTGAAGATCATCCACCTAAGCTTTTGCACTTCTTTAGACCAAATAATTGAAAGATGTGTTTTGAAGCTGCTGAGTTTACTCATGTGGATAGGGACTGATAACCAAAAGTACACATACGAAAACTGTGACATTTTTAGCATTGAGCATTTCTGAGGCTCAGGAGTTCAATGCAGCACAGGGTGAGGAGGCAACTGGTTCTGTGTGGTTTGCAGTTGATTTTATTTTGGCTCTGTGTCGTGCATCTCCTAATGATGAATGTGTGGGAGGGCCAGGTCAGGAATGGTTTCCACTCCAGTGCGTTGATTGTGTAGTTGGCAGTGGGCTCAATTAAAGTATAATAATCTTGTAATCTTTATCCTTTTTCAATTCAGGCTGTGGCACATTGAATAGAGCCTGTGAAAGACTATAGCTTTCGAAAAGTAGGTGAACTCCTTGCCTCTTTGTCTAAGTGGTTTGTGTCTAGTCAACTAAAATGACAGGCAGAAGAGACAAGTCCCCAAAACGTTGCTCCTCTGACTTGCATCATTGCTTCTGTTTGTGTCTTTGTGGGTTAACACTTGCTCTTTGTTTTCCTCTCCTTTCTTGCTAGGCTAACGATTGGATTTATAGCGAGCTTCTTACCACGGTGAAAAGACAAGCTGATGTGAGAAAGGAGATATGTCCGTTACGGGAAGGTGCCGTTTACCCCATCTCCTGGTTCTTCTTGCATTTGTTTTCAGTGGAGAGAAAAGCCAGGCACAAAGAGCAGGTAGGCATTGCCATTCCACATATCCCCTCGTGTAGCAGCTGGGGCTTTTACTTCTCTGAGGTGTTATTGATGCTAGGAGAAAAACAATTAAAAAAATAAACAAAAAAGCAAGACATTAAGACATTCACTACTGAAAGGATAAAACAGACCTTTTATCCTTTTTAAGGATAGAGATAGCTTAAGGATTGAAGTTATGATTTAACTAGACTCTGTGCTACTTCTGCAGGATTAATAATGCTGCCTCAGCTAAGAAGAGCAGCATGCAGTTTACTTTGCATATGCCTCATCTACCCTGCCTTGGTGTCAAGATAACTTTTCCTGTTGCTTTCTACAGATTTCAGATTAGTCCTGGTAGAACTTTCCTAGTCAGCTAAACAGGACTGGGACGTTGTCTAATGGTTCATGCTCTCTAGTTGCTAACATGATCTTTGACATGTTTTTTGGCCTGTGCCACTTAGCACTTTCTCCCAAATGGCACCGAATGCATGAGGGGACAGTGCAGCTGAGGGATTGTTCTTATAGGCTTGGTTAGCCTTAGACAGGTTTCTGTGTCTTGACAAAGCCACTCTGTTTTCTGAAGTGATAGGAACAGTTGAATCACAGCAATGTGAACCTAACCATACCTTAGAGCCAGAAAATGACTGTAGACCTACGTAGTTTACTGGTTTAGAAGCCCAACGATGCTTTGAGATGGAGATATTCTGACTTCTTTACTAGGAGAGATGCTATTCTGTAGCCTCATCTAATTTATACTAAAGAAAAAGAATTTTTAGCCTGGCTCTCAGTCTAACAAATAGCTTCTCTACAGTGCTCTTATGTGATCTATTTACAACATTTTGGAAAAAGTGTAACAGGGACAAGAGGTTAGTAACAAAACAAAGTGAAACTCATCTTTTTTTTTTCTGTTTGTGGATCAGTCAGAAGAGAATGGTGATACCATTTATGTGTTCATTCTGTGATTACTTTAAATAATTCTAGACTTATGGCTTGTTTATGAACCATTTTTAATGACAGTATAGCAAAATGGATGACTCAGTGTCTCAGTGGATGAATACAACTCCTGGAATGATGTTTCCAGAGAGCATTTCTGTAATTGCAAAACTGGAGTTCTCTCTCTATGAATTATATTCCATATTCCCTTAACATGAACTATTTCTGCCAGTAAACAATATTATTAAACTATTCCTGGAAAACAATCAATTTTGTCCAGCAGTGGACATTATTGTGCTAAAAATGCAGATTAATATTTACTAAAAGCTTTTCTGCAGCATTTCATATCACTGTCATCAGGTCTGTAAGTAAGGAATTCTGACTCTAAGAAAATGATCCTGAAAGATCATCTTTTTCTTCCTTGCAGTACTGTCTGAACATCATACTTTAAATCTTGAAACCCCCCCTTTTTTAAGGGGGTGCCCTTGAACACAGACAGGATTCATTTTGTCTGTTCTGTTTGTTTTTAAATTGCAATCATTTTGTCTACTGAGAATCGTTAAAATAAGCAACAGGAAGGTCTGTACCTTGTGCATTATATGCTTAGATCTTACATTCTTTAGTTAATCTCACTTAATTAACATTCTTTCAGATAAAATAGATTAATATAATTGTGATTTTTTTCCTGTAGGAAAGTGGAGATTAGTGGCATACCTTTTGCTGTTATATGCTATATCCTTTAAGATATGCAAAGAAGAAGCATGCATTTGCATTAGGGTTTTAGTTTGGCCAGGAGTGCAGCAAGGACAGTCTAGGAGAACTGAGGGAGATCGCAGGGCCAGGAAGTCAGGGGACTCAGCAGCCACCATCTCGCAGCAAGGTGAGTAGAACCAATCCCATGATAGTAGCAGCCAGGTTCAGCCAAAACTGAAGATTGCCAGACAAACTCATAGCGACAAAACTGGCATGGTGTCAGGTACGCAAGTCAGCAAATATGGGTCAGGACCGGATCTGGAGAGACCTGTAGTGTCTGGATCAACAACAGCTCTTGTAAGTCCATCGCTGTGGGGCAGGTCCAGAGCGAGGCTGCCAAAGCAATCTGTGGCTCAGGTAAGGACCAAGGGCAGGAGTATCATCTTAGAAGCAGATTCAATGGGAAGGAAAAGAAACTTCTATGAGTAGAGCTCTCTGGAAAGGCTCTACCAAGAACAACTGAGCCCTGACAGCCAAGCCTCTCAGTAACTGCGATGCTCTCAGATCCCTAACAAGGATTACACTTCCAAAGTTAATCTTCTAAGTGTCTCCATTTACTGTGTTTTGTTTCACTTCATAGAGCAGAACTGGATCAATTTCTGATGAAACTGAACTGCAAGATGTGCTTCAGAAGTGCGTATAATGAGCTTCAGTGACTAATGGACATTTAGTTTCTAGGACCTGACTGGAACTAATCTGGCATGAGAACGTGCAAATCATGCATAGTGGGGTTGTCCAGTTCTCAGCACCAGCTGTTTTGCTCTACAGATCTGGTCCTAGCACTGCACAATGTGTGTTAATGTATGGAGAACTGAACTCTCTGCAGCAAGCATGCCCTGTAGTCTGGATATTTTTGTGAGAATGCCTGACTACAGGGCATTCTCACAAATCTGGGTATATTTGTGAGAATGCCTGATTTTCTGGCCAAGGGAAGTAGATTATTCAGTCCACATCAGAGACCGTAGGAGGTCGTTAAGACGGTCATAGGGAATGGGGAATAAGTTCTCTGTAGTAACACAGGAATCAAGGTTACTCTGGGAGTTGTGAGCTAGATGTGGGCTACTCCAGACCCTGATCAAAGTGGAAGGGTTTAAAGGCAACTGCCAACAGTTTAGGGAACGGAGATAACACTTCCAGGTCAGTTGGGAAGAGAAAATCCCTGTAACACCAACAGAAATGAAACGTCACAGGTACTGATATGGACCACCTCTTTTGTCTTGCATCATTTTATATGTGCCTGTGCTTCATATGATTGATTAAACTGACTTTTTACCGTTGATTCAACACAAGCAGTTGTACTTTGTGAGGGGACACGAGACCAGAACTACTAGAGAAATTTTGATTGTGACCATCGATAATTTGAGTTTGTAGAGATATTTTCAGCCCTAAAATTGCAATAATTTGTTAGGATCTATGGCATGTAAGAGTCAAATAAATAAAACCTATATGTGTATTTTGTTCAGCTGGCGTATTATGATAATCTATGTTTGTCTGGGACTTTTTATGATTATACAGTGTAATGGCTTGGATACACTCAGAGAGAGCTACAAGATGTCTCCTGGGAGATCTACTTCCTTGGCAAGCGACTGACAAATACATGACCAGTCTGGGTTTACAGGACAAGAAGGCTGCAATTAAAATACATTTGCCTTTCAGATTACACAGGCCTCAGATTGCAAATATCATGGCTAGAGCCCAGAGGGTGGTTGTGGGGATACATGAACTTTTTTCTTACAAAGAAACTGCCCTTTGTTGTCAAGGAAGCCATCCCAGTACTCAGTGAGTCATTCTTTAGTCAATAGTCAGTGGTGGGCAGTCTCAAAATCAAAATAAGCTTGTTACAAATCTGCTTCAGCAAGGTATCATGCTGAGCAGAAGAACTGCTTCTAGCTAAGGATAAATAAATCATAATGTTAATGAAAGGGGAGACGTGAAAGCTTCACTAGTCAATGTCAGGATTGGCATAGGCAAGGTCAGGGCAGCTCTCGATCTGCCAGGAACATTTCAGAGGGTTACATGAGTAAAGGGGACAGAAAAGTAACTGCACTTGAGATTTTTAAGGGGAAAAAATAGCTTCAAATGCATGCAGACAGTAGAGGCAAAAGACTGAGCAAAGAAGCAGTCAGTAGTGCAGAAAAAGAGAGGGCTTGCCTATCTAGGTGAAATGAGTGCTGAGCTACTGTAGATGGCCTGAAATAGATGTGATGAGTCACAAGGAAGAGAGACTGAGAACCTATACTTGTTCTGTAGCATAGAGGAAGAGTTTGCTACCTCCTCAAAATCATTCACCAAATAGAAATGCCTACAGCATATTTGGTTTGTCCAATATTTGTCCTTCAGCTTCCCTTACTGATATATTCTACCACTCCTGCAGGTTGCAAGAATGTACACTATGACCTCGTTTTCATCTTGGATGCCTCCTCCAGCGTTGGAAAAGAAGATTTTGAGAAGGTTCGACAGTGGGTGTCCAATTTGGTGGAAACTTTTGAGATCGGCCCAGATAAAACCCATGTAGGTGTGGTGCGGTACAGTGATAGGCCAACCACGGAGTTTGACCTGGGAAAGTACAAAACTCGTCAGGAAATCAAAGAAGCTGCACGAAAAATTAAGTATTATGGGGGTAACACAAACACTGGAGATGCTCTTAGGTACATCAACAGTTACAGTTTTTCCAAAGAAGCAGGTGGGAGACTTAGTGACCAAACTGTTAAAAAGGTGGCTATCCTTCTGACGGATGGAAGAAGCCAGGACTATGTCTTAGATGCAGCCACCGCAGCCCATCAGGCTGGGATTAGAATCTTTGCTGTGGGTGTTGGTGAAGCCTTAAAAGAGGAACTGGATGAAATTGCTTCAGAACCCAAGTCTGCTCATGTGTTTCATGTTTCTGATTACAATGCCATTGATAAAATTCGAGGGAAGTTGAGAAGACGTCTTTGTGAAAGTAAGTAAAGCTTCTTTTACGAAATGAGAATTTTAATGAGTTCAGTTAGCACATAGGTATGAAAAATAGGTAATTGTTTTCCTTTATACTTTCCTGCTTATTATTCTGTTCTGCTAATCCTTTATTTTAGTGTCTTTGATATCCCATTCTCTAAGAGGTCATTTTAGCATCTGGAGAAGTGATTATCTGGAGATTTTGAGTTCCTTGGCCAAGGTCAGTGTTAACTATAGGTCAGCTTCCAGTGATGAAACTAGAGAACAGCATGGATTTGCTTTTCGTTCTGATACAGTTTATTTGCTTCATAATATTTTGGGCGTTAAAAGCAAATTAATCTGGATGGGACTATTTCCAGGGCATCCTAGCATGGATGTGGAAGATGATGTCTAATTTATACACAGAATTTGAAACAGGTCTTTTTTTCTTATTTTCTAGTATTATAGTATAAAAAGCATGCTCTGGATGCTGCTGAGAATAATTGTTTAGGAAGCAAAAGGGGTACCTGGGAACATACAAACCTCTGGATAGATGAAGGATATCATCCATGGAGCAGGCTTGTGCTGTGCTAGTTTGTATGTATTCTAAGACAAAAGCATACACTGCCAGAGTCAAGCTGGGTTTTAACAGACATAATCCTCTCTGAGCTCTTTGGAGACATGTGAATCAAGCAGAGGAAATGGCAGAACATTCTTCTGTTTTACAGACCAATGATGACTCTTCCAGTCCTTGTGCTACTGTGCTACAGACTGTGTGGAGTCGAGCAGTGCTGTAGACAGTGGATTTCATGCCAGCAGCTGTTCAGAATCACTTGACTCTGGTCTCACTGGATGTCTGTCCTCATCTCCATCATTCCATTTTGCTATATTTGACTGAATTTGTTGCTAAGAACATATCACTAGGTTCATTAATAGCATTTTAGCTCTCATTTGATACTGTGGAAGTAAGCATAGCAGATTTGGAAAATAACATGCCTACTCAGTGGAATGTTGTGTCAGTGGGAGATATTTTTGCCAAACTTCTCCATTACGTTTTGGACTATAGTTAGCAAGAAAATTTGGGTGATGCTTTTACATGACAGCAGGAGACATACTCTGCTAAAAATTCCAGAGATGCCTCATGTTTTCTAAATAGGGTTTCTGCTTGTATACCATAGAGATGAGATGAGATGAGACAGCCATGGAAAGTTTAAAAATATACTGACACCTGCTTTTGCTAGGTAAGTAGTAGGTTTTTGTTTGTCAAGAGAGAGCAAATTGCTTTGATTTCAACACAAGTTTCATTTGAAACTGGGTTTGATTAAGTTAGTGCATATACAGAGCAGTCAGCTGTGTTGGGTTAGTTGGGGTTAGCATTTGACGTCTAAGTCTCAGTCCAGAGGACACTGGAATGGTCTCCTAAAAAACAGCATCTTCTCAGAGATTATTACTTCTTAAACAACATGGATTTCAGTGCTCTGGATGCTGCAATATTTAAGTTTGTTTTGTTATAATTAAGCTAAACAGGTGAAAAGTTACAGCTTGCAAAATTGGGCAAAACGGTTTTCCAAACCCATTTTCACTGTTCGCTGCCTCCATAAGCCTTAACCTGTTAGCATTTTTAGACTATATTGCATCTATGTGGGATTACTAAACTTTTGCTACATAGCAAAATTGAGATTATACATCCTTGAAAGAAATGTGGCTTTAGAGTTACAATCTCTACAAAGGGCTGTTCATTCTACACCTAGTGATAGAAGAAATTCAAGTGGTTGTTTTCCAAAGAAGAACTACGGGAGCATTTTGCTCAGTCTTGGACCAGGAAATCTGTGACAGTGTTTGATATTTTGCCCAGTGTTCTCAGCTGCTTGAGATATTGGCCAAAAGGGTTTCTAAGAGCACATTATGCTAGACAAAATTTTATTTCTTTACATGACCCTTTTAGTGATTTAACTGCCTGGCCTGCTAGAGTTCGGGCAAACCTGCTAGAATCAGTGTACTGCGTTGCTTTCTTCCAGCTGAGATGAGAGGCCTCTTAGCAGATTGCTCAGTGAGAAGCAGTTCTGTGTTTAGCTGTATACTCAGGTCTTCTTGCAGCTTATGGAGAATTGTTGCCTGAACGTTTAGATAGCCAAACACACAGCACCATTTTTCAATACTGATGTCAGCAGAACAACCTGGAAGACTAGTTGTCATGGCAGAATAGGCCTATGGCTGTCTTTATCAGAATTAATTAATTCTTGTCTTTTATGCATACTGTAGCTCTTCCATCAGTTTTTAGTTGTCTGTGAGATTCATTTACCAGCAATAAGCTCAGATGTGTAGAATACCAAAAGAGTATGTCATCACTGGAATCTCAATTCTTTACATGCAGAAGGGGATAGGGTTAAAATGTTTCAATGACTGGATGGTAGCAATAGCTTGTCATTGATTTGAATGGATAGAGAGATATTTTCAAAACCACTTGTGTTTGTATGGTTTTATATATACATGTATTTTTTGACTTTGAGTATATATAAGGTAGGTTTTATGCTGTCACTGTTCTGTGTCTGACATAAAAGGGCTCCCAGCTTTGGAGACAATAACTTGAACATGCTCTTCAAAATAACAGCCTAAAAAATTAAGAAGTGTCTTTCTTGAACTCCGTGTTGCTGAGATTCATGGTATATTCATAGAAGAGCTCATCATGACAATGATAGGCTTTTCTTCCTGAACTTCAACATCAGAAATATCTCACACACAAAGATCTTTCCAAAGTGCAGACAGCTGAATTGCTATATTTTGGGTGATAAATATAGAAAGAGTAGATAGTTCCCACCAGACATACCAGTATGGCTAAGCCGCACATCTAATGGTCTTTTCCCAACTGTTGACATGAAAGGAGGTGGAACTCAACAAACCGGCAGAAATGGGAAAACAAGACTTTTTACTGAGCTTGACTGTGGTTGTAATTTCTATTATTCTGGTCTGTAGAACAGACTTGGGAATTTGTAGATTGGTTTTGCTTTCATGGTTTAGGATTTGTCCTTATCTGGGTTCAGTTTAGCAGTACTTCCAAATCTTACTTGGTCTTATTGAAAGGTTTTAGGAGAGCTGGTTTTCGTCATTGCGATGACTTGTAGAGATCTCCCACAAATACGAACAGACCTTCCTGCCATCTTGACAGGAGTCAGTATGTGGCCACAAGTGGAGCTATACCCTTATTCTCAAAAATTTGTGGCACCCACCTCCATGTTGAATGCTGAGAAGGTGAGATTTACTGGGGTGATGACTGCTAAGGAACTGGGCAAAATCTGATTAACAGAATATGTGCCATAGAAATAATTTAACTCTTGTGCTTTCTTCTTTGAAACTGTAATCACTTCCAGATGGTTTGGAAAGTCTGCTGATAAAAGCTCAGCAGACAACTTTTCATTATTTTAGCAACTGGAGCTAGGCAGTCACCCAGCTGGTATCACTTCTGGTGCCTCTTGTTGCTCCTTGATACTCTTGTCTTCCCCAGCCGCAGCAATGGCTTTTTCAAGCACTACACCCGTCTGCATCTGTGGCATCTACAACTTGTGGCAATCCTTCATGTCACAGGTGACAGGATCACACATTCGTTATCATATTTGCTGGCTAAACTGCAGTTTTCTGCAAAGGCATAAACTGGCTATGACAGACTTCTCAGCTGATTTATCCTTTGCTTGAAAGAGCAGAAAAACTTTGACTTTTCATAGATGATGCACTGGGAGGAGATAAAATACTTGATGGTCTTAGTGCTGATGACAGTATGCAGCTTTCTTCTGTCATTCTTTGGGTTGAAGGACAACCTGCTATTGTGGTTTATGGCTTCAGGAAGCATAGTAAAGGTCTGCTTATTTTCTTATAGATTTTTGTTTGTTTGTTTTCAAACCAAATGCTTGTTGCAAACACTCAAATTTTATTTTCCACTTGGTCCAGCCACCACCAGTTTAAAGAAAAACCATTGCAATGCTGGAAAAAAAAAAGCAGGCAAAGCTCAGAAACTGAGCAGTGAATCTTGATTGCTCAATATGAAAACTGCTCTCTTTTCCCAGAACATGCCTTCCATTGTGCTCTGATATAGCACAATGTAGGTATCATTTAAATAACTTTCTATTACACTTGGGACACTGAAATGAAAAGGTTTATTCTGAGATTAGCAACAGCATTGTTTCATGACCTGTTTAAGACAGCACTGCTGCTAAAAATGAGAGTCTTTTGCTTCCTATCTTCCTTCTCCCATCTGTCAGCACAGACATTCATGTGGCCCTACCATGAACTACAACAGGGAGCTGATGAATATTTGTATTTTCTTTCCTGGAATTAGTTTTTACTCAGATTTAGTTCAACATGAAGGCACATTTACATTTTCTGTCCCAGGGGATGAAATGGCACAAGCTGAGGACAAATAATTCAGGAAAGAAGATGACTTGGATTGCATCTTTTGGTAGAGTGCTAGTTTGTATCAGCTAGATGAACTACGTAACATTATCTAAGGACTTAAGAAAAGTGAGCAAAATCCTTTGTACACTCCTATCTGTAAACCAGAGCCTGTGTTCTGCTTTCCTCTGATTAAAATGTGCACAAAAATGAATTACTAGAGAGATCTTTGTGTTCAAACTCAGCTTCTGGGCTCCATGGAATCTTGCTGGGCTTGAACAAACTGTTCTACAAAAACATCCAGTTGCAGACTGATCTCATCATCATCCTACTACATTTTTCTTAAGCAGGCAAATTCTTATGCAAATTCTTACTGTTCAGGGCAGTACTGCAAAACTCTCCCTCCTCAAACATGTGTCTGTCTGTGGCTCGAAGCACCTTGCCAGGGTGCGTGGTAGGTAGGGTGAGCAACCTGACCACTGCCATCACCTACGTACAGGCTGTCGGGTAGCTCCTCCAGACAGCACATTGCGATTTGGGTGATCTTGCAGCCTGGTAGCTTCTCCCTTCAGAACAGATCTTAGTTCTGTTACAGTTTTGGAAGGAGATTTATTGATTTATTTTTCTTCCCTCGTTTGCTGAGAA